TGGCTCCTTCTGACTATTATCTGTTCCCCAAACTCAAAAAACTACCTGAAGGGACAACAATTTGGGAGTGTTCTAGAAGCAACTAATGCCACAAATGAATGGTTACACCAGCAGTCGGAAGAATTTTATTTGCAGGGACTTAAGAAGTTGCAGGACAGATGTCGCAAGTATGTTGACTTCCGGGGGGGGGGCATCTGTAGAATAATGTGGCAGTTACAGCTTCCTAGCTCAATTTTTTTCTGGGAGAGGCTCAATACTTATCAGTACCCCCTTGTAAATGACAAAAATAAGCAGTGCAGCCATAAACAGTAAGGTCCCTCAGCCTTAAATACCTTCATTGTTTAACTCCACACCTTTCCAGGGTTAGGTCCAGAAACATGGAGATGGGCAGTCGCTTTGATGGTTATTTAAAAAGACAACTACAGCCATGGCCAAAAATATTGGCACCCCTGCAATTCTGTCAGAAAATGCAACCCTTCCCTCAGAAGATTGTTGCAGTTGTAAATGTTTCGGTACTCACATGTTCATTTCTTTGGTTTCCGTTGGAACAACACAAAAAAACGGAGAAGAAAAGTCAAATCTGATACAATCCCACGGACCGCACGCCCCCAATTGGCCCATGACTCAGAAAAGATTGGGGACCATTGCTCTCTAGGGCACACCAACTGACTTAATCTGCAAGGCTTCCTAAATCACCCTCAAGGTTACAAATGTTACTGAGGCACATTCTGCCACACCCTTTACCAGTAACATCTTTCACTTCTTCTACCCCCACCCTTGAAAAAACACAAGATTTAACATTGGAGAAAGTTAGTTTTGGGCTACAACTCCCTCCCCACCCAAAACCAGTGGACATTACAGGCAGAGATTCTTGGAGCTGACCTCCAGAAAAACTTTTTCAGGCTCTGAAAGCACTCCCCCGCAACAAAACAGCACCAGCCTGCTGCAAAGTTGTGCGAAATTCAAAGCCACTGCTTTAGTGCCTTCCACTGAGCTAGCTTCAATTTAGGCTACTACTGAATTACTGCGTTATGGTCTGGATCTTTTCCTTCCTCCCCTTGCCCTTGCCCATCGACAGATGCCCTTTGAGATTCCTGTGAACAAACTCGGCTTTTTGGATCCCTCTACCACAACGAACATCGATATTTCAGGGCAGTTTGTCCTCACAAGGCGGGGAGCCCCGTTTTAGCACACAACCAGCACCTGCATCTCTTGCTTCAGATGGAACACCGGATCTGACCCCGACAGCACTACCTATCAATGAGACATGCCCGCCCCAGCCACTAGCTTTTGCCCGGGCCGATGGCACTGTTGTGGATGCGCCCTCAAATGTGGGGTCCCATCACAAATATCGCTGCTCAGATTTTGCACACCAAAGTCAGTCCTAACCGCGCAACGGAAATCCTTCCAGTGTTCTTCAAAAGCGATTTTTCTCCTTAAAGAAGGAAGAAGTTCCCTCTTCTATCGATTTCTCTCTGGATTTTTACGATCTATCCCCCTCCCCATAAGGCACACCAAAACACATCACACTTACCCGACAGTAGACAGTCCCTCCTATCACAAGCTTCTACCAGCGTCCTAGTTTGCTCCCTTCTTCTTTTCTCGGCTTTTAAATCAAGGCGCATGCCCTGTATTTCTGAGCATGCTCAGAAGGAGCATGCGACTCCCGCTGCCCTAAACTGGGCGGGTCAACAGAGAGCCGGAAGTTTGTCCTTCAGAGGTTGGATACAAGGAGGGTTTTACGCCTAAGGGAAGTAATCAAGCTGTTTCGTAGAAATGGGCAAACTTGTGGCCGGGATGCCCGGGGAACTGTGGGAGTTGTAGTCTAGAAACATAAATCTGCACACCTTTGGCCTTTACGTGCCCAAGGAGGGACTGGGAGACACTTTCCCGATTTGGAAATGTTTCCATTTTCTTTTTGTTTAATCCTAAGCAGATATTTCCCTCGTGATCTTTAAGCATCCTTTGCTTTGACAGCTTGGATCTTCTGGAATACAATTCTTGTTTTTGAGTCCCTATGTGTAAGCCTCTGAAAAGTTGCAGTATGATTCTGACCCCATTTCCATCACCTTTTCCTTTTGTTCCTCTTGCTTTATTAAATAGTTTTAAGAGTTTCCACAGTGATCCATCAAGACGTTTCTTTTGACTAAGGAATACCTCTATTTACATTTTTCCCTGATCATGGCTAGAATCTGCTTATTGTTCACGTGAGATCTGCTTCCTGATTCTCAGTGTGGTGTAGTGGATAGATTTGACAGACTGGAGAACAGGGTTTGAATCCCCAGTCAGCCATGGACACTCACTAGGGGAGTGGAACTGGTAAAACCACTCCTTAAATACTGTATCTCACTTACCTTGAAAGTCCTATCTGTCGGTTCGAACTTGATGGCATGTAACACACACACAAGATCTACATAACTACCCTGTTTCCCCTAAAATAAGACCTAACCTAACAATATGCCCTGGTATGATTTTTCAGGGTGCTCTTAGTATAAGCCCTACCCCAAAAATAAGCCCCAGTCGAGTGAAACCCTGTACTCCACCACTGTGCAGCAACCAGAAGATGACATGACTGCATTTGAATAAATGTAGATTGTTGTACATGAAAAAAATAAAACAGCCCCTGAAAATAAGCCCTAATGCATTTTTTGGAGCAAAAATTAATATAAAACCCTGTCTTATTTTCGGGGAAACACACTAGCAGTAGCTAATTACAGCTTATTGACGAGGTGCTGGGATACACCTCAGTTGCATAAATTATTCCATGACTACGTATGTGACCAAGATGTGCCCCAGTACATTGTCAGCCGCAGTTAACCCCTCAACTTACATAAACATTAAGCAATCACCAAGAGGATTCTGGCCAATATCTCTGGTTTCATTGCATAGTTCTGGTTTGCAGTCAGTTGCATTCAGTAATGCACATCTGTTTTTTACATTCATTAGAAATGTTATGTAAATGTTGGCACTATGATTGTTTGAGTGTTCATCACTTTACTCTAACTTGGATACCAACAGTTCATGGTATTTACCAGAGTCTACTCCTGGTCTTGTTTGAGAGAGAGAACACAGCTTCTCCACTTTTCACTTCTGATTCCACATTCTATTTAATTTCTGTATTGGCTATCCAGCAGTGTCCATGTGTACAATTATCTATTGATTGCCTGAAGTCAATATTTGCAATAAACAAACTGTTAACTTCACAGAATTTTATGAGTCATTCTCTTGCTTTATTTTAGGCAAAAGCTCTGACAACATTTGGTTTTGCTTCGCATTTCAGTCACCCATTATTATCAGCACATCCTATTTTAGTGTGCAGCCACCTTCCTTTTGGATGCGTACATAAAACCTTGCAGTTCCTTCTTATTCAGCACTAGAGATGGGGCCCAAACCTTCAGATGAACAGCAGGCCCACTCACCGTTCTTCGCAGGTCGCTGGGGTTGTTCTACTCTGGCAGTATGCCAATCCGGGCAGGAGTCTGGGCTGCCCATCCTCATCTGCCCCGGCATTCGACCACACGTCAGCTGCACCGGGAAAATCCCCATCCTGTCTCCTTGTTGAAGTACTTGGCTGCTGGGGTAGGCTGGGACCATGGCAACGTGCGAAGAATGGTGAATGGGCCAGCCAGATTGGGTCCCATTTCTATAGCTGGAGCATACATGTTAGTTACATTGATAAGACTTCAGGTTTTGCGTTTTAGACCCTGCTTCTCTATATCTTGCCTCATCGTAACAACTACACCGTTTCTTCTACATTTGTAATCTCCAGAGAAAAGCTCTTTGTAATTATCTGACTGAAAATGTCACATGTCTGTTTGCTCACACGAAGTATTACAGTGTTTAAACTTGTAAACTTAAAATGTTGTATGTTTCAAGCTTTCCTTCATGCTTCCCTCATTCCATGTCCCAATTTTATGTGCCTTTTCCACTTGTATAGCTAGTTGATCTTGGCCTTGAGAAAGACTTATAGCTATATATGTCACAGAACAGCTTGCTGAAGATTCAGTGAATGCAGAGAAGGCTTTGGTTCAGGAAAGTTTAGATACGTACAATATGAATTTAAATGTTAAAAAAAAGGAAGTCAAATCTAAGCCTCACCTGCAGGGATGGGTAATGGGTAGAACAGAATAAAAATAAAAGGAGAAATCAGGGATCGGTATTTGTATTGCAGCTTGCTCTTGGATCTGACTCCAGTCTCACCAGCAACTTGACTCAGACTTGACTAAGAGGGTTTGGGGGTGACTTGGGACTGGACTCGTGACTTGGATCCATTTGTCAGCACAGAACAATGATGTACTAGGGTCCACACAAGCAAATCTGCACTGGAGTAAATCAGAGCAGAACAGAACAAAAATACACCACCACCCAACAGTGGTGAAAGAAAATCCAGAAGACAAGGTTTTTTATCCTGCTTCATTGAGATTAATTTTAGTCCATGAAGTACCATATGATGAATGCAAGGAAAGCTGAAAAACATGATCAGTGTAAAGGGTCTCAAAGGTTAAGGCGAAGAGATAAGCTAAGACCCAAAGGCTTCAGAACAGTCAGATTTTGTAAAAAGTAAAATGAAATGAGAAAAGAAAAAGAAAAGAAGTGAGCTTCTTTGGGATGCAGCTGCTTTTTGATCCACCCACAACCTTTATTTTCCTGTCCTCTGATTGGCATCTTTTGGCTCATCACTTGAATTGTGTGTTGGAAATTGTTATGCCACCTCTCCTGTTGTTGTTGTTGTTGTTGTTGTTGTTGTTGTTGTTGTTGTTGTTGTTGTTGTTGTTGTTGTTTGTTGTTGTTGTTGTTGTTGTTGTTGTTGTTGTTGTTGTTGTTGTAATGTGCTGTCAAGTCACTTCTGATTTATGGCAACCCTATGAATGAGTGCTATCTAAAACGTGCTGTCCTCAACTGCCCCCTGCTCAGCTCTTAGACTCAAGCCTGTGGATTCCTTTCAGGAGGTCAGTTCATCTCATATTTGGTCTTTCTTTTTTCCTGCTGCCTACAACGTTTCCCATTATTATTGTCTTTTGCAGAGAATCCTGCCTTCTCTTTATGTGTCCCAAACAGAACAGCCTCAACTTCAGCATTTTTGCCTGCAGAGATAGTTCAGTCCTGATTTGATCTAGGACTCACTTGTTCATCTTTATGGCAATCAAGGGTAGAGGTGGACACAAACCACAGTTTGGCGTGGCACCTCCGCAGTAGTCCCAGGTAGGTGGGGCTCGTCAGCTTTTGAAGGCAGCCCATGTAGGAGAAGAAAAACTCCGATTTCAAACCTCCACTGCCTTGTGGCTTCAGGAGTTAACCTTGAGGCAAAATCCAGAGCCGGAGTCCCAGAGGCAGTTTGTGCCATTCTGGCAACTCCTGCAACATCACTGGAACCACTTGTATTGGCTCTTGCCTTTCCATTGGACTATTTCAGTGACGTGGAGATGGGGGGATTTGCTGCTTGGGTAACAGCCTATTCTCCATATTATTTTACCCAGGCTTCATGCTCTGGAGAGGACACTCAAGCTTCGCATACAGCATCAAAATAACACGGGAAGTAGCAGTTACTGGTTATAAGTCTTTGCTCGATTGGTATAGAGCATGACACCAGGGATTACTTCTGATGGTGGGAGAGATCATTGCTCCTCACTAGGTAGCTACCGCCCCAGTTAAACTGGGCAGCCCCCAGCCAGTAAGGTGCTGCCTTGCTACAGTCTGTTAACCTCACGGGGTGCGTGGGGTTTAGGGTGAAAGCCAACAAGCAGATCAATAACCCTGCACCATGCAACAATCATAAGAAAACTTCTGCCCTAAAGTTGGGCACCTGGAATGTTCGGACAATAACCCCTGGCTTTGCTGATGACCTGCAGGAAATAGATGATGTGCGCAAGACAGCTGTCGTTGACATGGAACTGAGTAGACTGCAAATGGACATTGTTGCCCTGTAAGAGACAAGATTGCAAGACATGGGATCTGTCAAAGAAAAAAAATTCTCATTTTTCTGGTGTTGGCTTTGCGGTCAGAAATACTCTGCTGAGATCCATTGTTCCACCTACTGTGGGGAATGAAAGAATCCTGTCTCTGCAGCTCCACTCATTGGCGGGACCGGTCACCCTCATTAGTGCATATGCACCAACACTGTCATCTACAACAGAAGTCAAAGACAAATTCTATGACAATCTGGCAGCTATTATCAAAAAGATCCCCACCAGAGAGCTGCTGTTCATTCTCAGAGACTTTAACGCTAGTATTGGTGCGATCACAATTATTTGCTCACTTGTCTAGACTGTTTTGGCATTGGGAAGATGAACAAAAATGGCCAACACTTGCTGGAGTTTTGTTGTTATTATGGTCTTTGTGTCAGCAACATGTTCTTTAATATGAAGCTTCTTCACCGAGTTTCCTGGAGACATCCAAAATTGAAGCATTGACATCAGTTCGATTAGATCCTCACTAGGCATTCTAGTCTTCCTAGTATTATGATCACACACAGTTATCAGAGTGCTGATTGTAATACTGATCATTTCCTGGTGTGTAGTAGAGTAAAACTGCAAACAAAGAGATTGTATCACATGAAAAAGGAAGGAAGACCACCTATTGACATCAGCAAGACTCACAATCAAAAAAAAGTGGAGGAATTTGCCCAAGCGCTTGAGGAAACCCTTCCAGGCCCAACTGATGCAAATGCATCTAAACAATG